GGGCCGTGACCTGCATCGTCACGGTGTCGGTCAGGACGAGCCGAGCCCGGACCAGGAGGTCGTGGCCACCCCGGAACACGCCTGGAAGGGAGAGAGGGAGGAAGGAGCCAGGGTGGTGCTTGGCACGGGGGGGTTTCCCCACAGGCAGCCTGGCCAAGCCCCCGCACCGCGCCAGGAGAGACCCTGGCGCAGCACATTTCTCATTCCTCGTCACGTACCCGGGACTCCAGCCACCGCAAAACTCATGGAAGCCAAGCGTAAAACAAACTGCAGCTGAGCAGAGGTCCAGGCACCCCCCCAGCCACCACCAGCCACTCCTCTAAGCGCTCCAGCACGCATCCAGCTGGGCAAGGGCTGGCTCCAAACCACGATGCCACAGACGAAGCAGCCAGCAAACCCACCCAGCTGAGCCTGGGGCCGACCCCAGCACCCCCCACCACAGCACCCTGCCTGAGCCCAACACCAGCTGCTCCACACCTGTGGAGACAGACCCATGGCAGGGACAAGCCTCCAGCTCCCACCCAGAGCACAGTGGGCTCCATCAGGAACTCCTGCCCAGGCTTTCAACAGGCAGCTCTGTGCAAGCTCTGGGAGCTGCTGCCGGAGCAGAGACCTCGCCCCACAGCTCACCTGCCAGGTACAGCGTGTGAGAGTTCTTGTTATCTGGCACTTTATCCGATCGCTCACAGGGCTGCATCCCCAGGAACTTCACAATATTACTAACTGCCTCTGTTAAGAAAAAAAACAAACAAAACAGGCTCCACGTCACCAGTGTCTTGACAGGGACATACAAAGAGCGTCTAAAGGTGACGGAAGTCCTCCCTGCATGTTAGGGTTCACGTTCCTTGTCCTGAGGGACATGCAGCACTGGCCAGTATTGTGATTTTAGAGGCCACCAGGGAGGCAAAGGCAACGCACAAAAACCCCACCGCCCCAGGGCAGCTCTGTTAGCTGATGCAGCAACGGTGCAAGAGAGACAAAAGGGTGCATGAGTCAGACAGCGGAAACAGGAGAGCGCAGCTGGCTGCACGCTCCCTGTGCAGCCCTGACAGCCAGCCTGCTTCTCTGGGGACAGGCGCAGAGGGAAGGAGACACCTCACAGGTCTTCAGGAGGAGTTTGAAAAGGCCTCAGGGAAGGTATCTGAAGCCCAAGGCGCTGTGTGAGGAAGCAGAGAGATAGCTATAGGACAAGGACACCCTTCTCAGCCATCCAAAGGACCAAGTTTCTACAGGCTTCTTGGGAACAACAAAAGGAGTCTTTAAGACATAATCAAAGAGAAGAGGGCTTACACCACATGCCTGCCCACCAACTGCATGTCTTTATGCACCTTTTTTTATTAGTCTTGAGTCCTAAGGTCAGAGCATCTCCTCCTGTCACAGAAGGAAAGTGGGAGCTCACAGCTGAACTATGGTCTGTCTGCTTGTGAGGGTAGAGTGAGAGAGCAAAGCAAGATGTTCTCTTGCCTCCCACAATCCAGCCTGGGTCCGGAATACTCATTTGGTTTTTCTGAAACCTGAAGTAACTCATTATCACAGCAACTGTAGCTCCACATTTAACAGCTACGGTGAAACTGCTTGTGAAGGGTTTTGCCCCACTAGCCTTTCTGCAAGAGATCTAAAGTGAGCCCGGCTGCACCTTGGACTTTGCGTGCTGGAGAGCGAGAGAAATACTAAGAGCTCTGCTGGGCTCAGGCACACCCTTACCTTCAAGGGTTTTAATAGCAGATAAAGTAAAGGTCTCTTCCTTTTCGTACTCATCACCCACTTCATCCCAGGCTGCTCCAAAGTTTGGCTTCAGAACCCGCTGGATATGATCAGCCACTGTCACCTCCAGGTCTTCAAGCTGGTGGTAGAGAGGTTCAAATGAAACATGGTTGTTCCTAACTCTGCTCTCTCCAGAGCGAGCTTTAGACTGGATTCCCTGAGATCAGGTCAGTGTAGGAGACAGCTTCCACTTCCACTCATGAACGTGTCAGCAAGCCCTGCCCCTTCTGGTTTGCTCAAGCAAACACCACTTGGCTGAGCACCTGTCTGGCCTGGGAAAGCCACTGGTCATGCCATTTCCAGGGTCTACAAAGCAGGTTCCCGTTACGAGCACAGCCCTTGGCCCAACAGAGATCAAAGCACCGGACAAACGTCCAAAACAGAGGGCAAAAGCTAAGAAACAGCTGCTTGTGCTCACACAGATGCAGCATTTGCTTCCCTGCCATGCACGTAAGCTCCCGTTTTGCCTTTCTGGCCCATTGATTTGTAGGCTGGTAAAGTACAGTGAGGCACTGTCAGACACTTGTTATCACCTAACGGCGCGTGCCGCGTTAGCTGAACTGCTGCTGTGACTCCATCTGTGCAAGGCAGAAGTGGGCTTGTCCCTCCAGAGCATGTATCGAAGAGCAGCCAATGCCGGAGCTGGCTAGACACCAGCCTGCATGCCTTTCAGCCATCACTGCAGGAAAGAATCTCCTCCCGATTCTAGTTGAAACACATGGAAGAGTCTGTTTAAATACCACTCAAATGCCCTGGTGACTGGTGGGAAGCAGAGAGGGGTTAACCTTGCATGTTCCTTTGGGAAAAGCACCCCCCAGCTCCTTCTGGGAGGACCGGGTCCTCAGTGACTCACTGCACAGCAGTGCCCCTAATCAGATTTGCAGCAGCGACAGGCAACATGCAGAAAACAGCCTCTGGAGCTAATAGGGCAAGCTAAGGCTGTGTCACAACACCCCTTCCTCTCCGGAGGGTAAACACCACCCTCTGCAAGCTAGCCTCAGTTTCTGACCAAGCGTAAGTTCAGCTTCTTCCTCTGTGGTACAACAGCTGTCCTGGAAACGGCAGAGTCCGATACAGAGGTGCTTCTGCAGCACGTGTGGTTTCATCAGTGCTGCAGAGGGAAAAACCCCACCTTCCCCAGAGCAAGAACAAGGATGGCAATCTGCCTGTGTCAGGCAAGCCACTAGGCAATTAACTGTGCCACCACGGAGAGCAGCTCATGGAGAACAAAAAGATGGCCAACAGCCCTCTGTCCCCACAAACCTGACTGCGCAACCACTGGAGCCCATACAGCACAGCCAGCCGAGCCTGCAAGACACACTGGGGCCTCCCAACCATAGGTATCCTCCAAAGTCAGGTGTCCACCTGGAGAGCAACCGGAGGATGCTCCAAATGAGACAAAGCAAGCTCTCCAAACCCCCATCTGCATCGTGGGACAGACACCACAGAGCCAGCAAGAACCCCCTCTTCACGCGATGCTGCCCACATCAGCATCAGTGGTCACACAGTTGCTTGTGTGGGGATCTGAGTACAGATCAGGAAAACCCTCAGAACGACTGCAGCTTCTGTGATCAGGCAGACACCCCGCTCCTTACCACATACTCATCCTCGTAACCCTCGTCATCCATCTCGCCCGTGTTTGGATCGCAGTCCTTGACAGTGAACTTCATCATGCAGCTGAAGGTACAGGCCACTGAAGATGGGGGAGGCAAAGTTCACATTACCACCAGCTCCGTGCTCCCCCGCGGCAGAAGGGGGCTGGGAAACCTGGGGCAGCTGTGTCTGGGTTCTCCCCCGCACTGTCAGCGGCACAGGCCTAGCCAGTGGCCCAGAGAGGGCTCTCCAACAGTTTCTGCCTCTCAAGGTATTTATTTGTAATATTAAGGCTAGCAAACAGTGATAAAGACAGGTTCATGATGGTTGTACAAGACCATAATCCTCAGATCAAATGCTATTACTGATGAACCTCAAGCTGCGTTGGGAATACTAA